CATATTGGTATCCGATACTCATTGAATAAGTATCGGATATTTTTTATACATATCGAATAATTAATGAAATATTTATCATTATCGGATACATTTCAGATACGATAAATACACTCGCTTTATACTTAGTGATGTAAGTTATTTATAAATCGTGAATTATATAAATAGGGATTTGTCATTCCAAGATGTTTATTTGGACGTCCACCACATATAACACAAAATTTGTCAATTATTTACAATTTGATTTACTTGAATAATGAGTTTTTTAAGGTTTACATTAAAGTCAATGAAGTCTATTATAATTAGATGCTAAGTAAAAGTTGAAAACTCTCGAAGGTTGACGCGTTTTTAGTTTTAGAATTAAATAAAATCTTGAATTTAAAACACTATTAGTACCTCTGTCAACATAAATACTTGTAGTTTGAATGTGTTTTATTTCTAAGCAATATTATTGGGATCTAATTTATTGACCTCATTTATTACAATTATTGGATTGACAATGAGTTTCATCAAATATTAGAATTTGATGTTAATCCAATAGTTACAAGGAAGCCACATTTAAATTTTTAATCTAAATAGCATTACTTATACTCTTAATTTCTTAATCCCTCATATCCTCAATATTGTAATAACGTTCTAATATATACATAAACTAGTTATTGTCTATGCCTAAAGACACTGAGTAATAAAAAATGATAAACAATAAGCATATTTGTATTCATATCCAAAATCAAATCACAAATTTAGAAAAGAGATAAATGGATTTAAGCATCGGTTTGTAGTGAGGATGAGAGGTGGTGGGCTGCAGTAGTGGTGGTAGGAGACGGTGAGGGTTGTGGTGAGTGATAATGACCGTGGTGATGGTGATGGCAACGACGGCGACGATGGTGGCAGGTGGCAATGACTATGGTGGTGGTGGTGGTGGCGACGACGGCGGTGGTGACAGAGGTGGTGGGGGGGCCGACAGTGGCGATGGGAGCGATGGTGGTGGTGGTGGTGGTGGTGAGGGAGGGGGTAAGGGTGGCAATGGTGGTGGCTGCGGTGGCAGAGACGGTGGGGGCGATGGCAACGGCGGTGGGGGCGAATGGGGGTAGGGGCGGTGATAGCCACGATGGTGGGGTAGGGGGAGGTGATGGTGGCGGTGGTGGTGGTAGCGGTAAAGGTAGGGGTGGTGGTGGCGACAGTGGCGGCGATGAGAGTGACGGTGGCAACAGTGACGGTAGTGGTGATGACGGTAGTGGCAGTGGCAGTGGCAGTGGCAGTTGTAGTGGCGGTGGTAATGGTAGTGGTGGCGATGGTGATGGTGGCAGTGGTGGTGGTAAAAGTAGTAGTAAGACAGTTTCAAGTACTATATTTTTTTTTTAAGTATTTATGAGAAATAATTTCTAGAATTACTTTTAAAAAATTACTTCAAATACATCCTTAGGGTCCTATTTTCCTATAAAATTTAAAGTGTTAATATTAATTATTAGATTAATTTTAAAGTAAAATTAAAACCGATCTCAACTGCGAATAAAAAAAGTCATTTTGTTTATCTTTTGAGATTTGAATTGTAAGCTACTTTATTATATATATATATATATATATATATATATATATATATATATATATATATATATATATATATATATATATATATATTTACACATATATTCTATTTTTTGAGATTTTGTCGTATCTGTTTCGTGTCGTACTCATATTTATATGGGTAATTTAGAAGTCGATACAAAAATTTAGACTCATTTGAGCTTAACTATATTAAAAAAAATTTATTTGATCTTAAGTGCATTTTTTTGAAAAAAGATTAAAAGGTTATTTATTATTCCATTATTCTGTCTCTCTCCATTACTCTCTCTGCCTTATTTTCTGTATCTCTATCCCTCTTTCTGTAACATAGATAATTTATTTTTTTTAAATGTGTAAAAATTTGATTTAATTTTTTCATCTCTCTCCCCTATTTTTTTTTCTTTCTCTTACTCTCTCTCCTCTTATTTTCTTATTCTCTCTTTCCTTATATTAACGTTACAACAACATAATTATACCAATCAGTTATACTAATTAGTTACAATTACCTTATAATAAACCATATATTTACTCATTTGTTTTAATAAATCAAACAATTACACTAAACAATTACATGAAATTACAACACTAACCTAATTTGTTATTTAGTTATTTACATAAATCAAAAAATTACACTATTTAGTATCACAACATGGTTACATCAATTATATACACCAAATTGAGTTTATCATTATATAAAAGACTTTATCATTATACTAAATTTGGTATATAATTTGTGTAACGATATCGAGATATAAAATGATGCAATTATTTAGTTTATGGCAAATTAGATTGGTGTCATAATTTTGTATAATTTTTTGGTATAATTGTTTGATTTATTAGAATACATGAGTAACTGTTTGGTGTATTTATAGGACAATTATAACTGATTGATATAACTTTTTATTGTGTTGTTGTAATGCTGACATAAAGAGAGAGAGAGAGAGAGAGAGAGAGAAATGGTGAGAGAAAATGGGGGGAAAGATGAAAAAGTAAATCAAATCTTTATATATTTGAAAAAAAAAAATTATCAATGATAGATAGAGAGAAAAAATATGAGAGATTGGGAGAGTAATGGGAGAGGGAGAGAGAAAGAGAGATGGAGAAAAAATATGGGAGAGATAGTGAGAGAGTAATGGAGAGGGAGAGAGAAATAGATTGAGAGAAATAAGGGGAGAGACATGGAGAGAATAAAAATTATGTATAATTTAAGGAAGATAAGTAAGTAAAAAAATTTTAAATGTTATTTGAATTTTGTATCTAATCACAATAAGTTTTATTAAAATTGAAATTAATAGAGCAAAATATTTATCCATACACTTTCTATCAAATAAATCTAAAAAACAATGTACTCACACCCAAAAAAATCTTATCTATATCTGTGTGTTCTATGTTCTAACAATTAACAGCAGTGACAGGCAAAAGGCGGTGATTGTGATGGAGATCCCTACAATGTGTGGAATGAAGAGAGTTGATCCAATGAACAGCAGCAGTAACAATGCAACTGTTGATATCAGCGATGAATCTGAGAGGCTACATTTACTAATCGCAGATGAATCGTGCCATGACGATACTGTAATCAGAGAATGGTCAGAAGTGTACGCAGGAGACAGAACATGTAACAATCCATCCTGGAAACGCCGAATGGAGAAAGTTCCTTCACTGATGCGCAGGGCACATGAACGAGACAACCAAGAGTACGATCCCAGGGTGGTTTCTTTGGGTCCTTATCACCATGGCAAACAGGAGCTTCAATTAGCAGAGAACCTAAAACATTCCATTCTGCACAAGTTTATTTTAGGCAGTGGGAAACAGGTTGATGATTTCTACAATAAGGTTCTGGAAGAGATCGATGATGTTAGAAGCTGCTACGTTGAAAGTTCCACCAGTAACTACAATGACAAGGAATTTGCCCAAATGATGCTTCTTGACGGTTGTTTTCTTCTACACTACATAGAATGCATGTCAAATCGACGATCGGAAATTTGGGATTTTGTGCATCATATGGGCATGTTTGCCTCGAAGTATATACTGTCAGACTTGTTTTTGCTTGAGAACCAACTCCCATTGCAATTACTCAAGGCTTTGATGAGCGTAAGATTCAGAGAAGATGAGAGGGCAGGATTGATCGAAAGTTTCTTTGCAGTAATGTTTGCAAAAGCCCCGCCCCCACGAAGTAAGCATAGCATTTCACGGAGGGAAGATGAAAAGCAGCCCCTTCATCTTCTTGAAGCTCTGCGCACAATTCTCCTCTCCAACTACGATGAAGATAAGCAAGGGATTCAATCTTCTTTGCTCCCAAGTGGAAGAAAGGAACTTCCTATTTGTGATGTGAAGAAGTATATTCGGTCATCTATTCGACCTGTCACAGAACTCCAAGCAAAAGGAATTCAATTTAAGCGTAGCAATAGTGTAAGTTTGAAAGACATCAAGTTCAATTCGAAATGCTTTTATGGACAGCTTAGTCTCCCTCCTCGGATCATTAATGCTCAGACCAAGACTATTTATTCGAACCTGATTGCTTATGAAATGTGCCCGAGTACTCCTAATGATTATGGGATAACTTCATACATTAGTTTCATGAAATCACTCATTTGTCAACCTGAGGACGTGAGAGAGTTAAGGTCAAAGAACATTCTTATCAATTGCCTGGGTAATGATGAAGAGGTGGTTAAAATGTTCAAAGATATCATCACTTACGATCTGCAGAAGTTTGGCATCTATGATGAGGTTAGGAAGGACATTCAGAACCACTACAACAACAAGATGAAGACATGGATGGCTGAATTGATTCACAAATATTTTAGTAGCCCATGGACAGTCATTGCTTTCATCGCAGCAACTTCTCTTCTGGTCTTGAGTTTCCTGCAGACCTACTTCACAATCTTCCCAACTCACCATTGAATCATGTACCAGATACATCGGATCAGTAAGTTAATTATAGTGATATGGACTATGACTTTGTGCGCTTTAGTTTTAAGTTCTCAACTTGTCATCGTTCACAATTATCATATATATGCTTAGATTATTTGTGTAACATTTTACCCATGGTTGTAATATAAACGCGAAAACATGATGTATTATTCTAATCTTTGATTCGAATTTGACACAACACGTGAAAACTTTTGTTTTTCTTTTTTACGTAGATCGGTATGTATAGTCATAAAGGGTTGTTAAGTTATGAAGTAAGAAAGAATTGTTTAGAAACAAATATTGTTATTTTTCTGGTTAATTAATCAAATTCTGATTCATATCCCATTTCTTAACTAATCACTGCCCTTCTATGTAACATTGGTAGAAAAACAACAAAAATGTTGCTGATATATATTTTATTAATTAGTTCATTCAGACAAATGAACTTCATTTCATTAAATTTTGGATGATAAAGCTGAAATAAATAAATATTGTGTTGAATAAATATAAATATAAATTCAAATTGATCAGTAATTAGTTCCTTTGCCATCATCAGATTGATTGCCGGTATCGGGTTGATCACACATGGGTGTTGTGTAGTAGAATGGGCCGAGCACATGTTTGATCATATCTCGGTACACCATGGTGGGTCGGCCGAGCTTCACCCCTCTCCGGCCACCGGAAAAATCGGTGACAATGTTGCAGACAGGGTCTGGTGATGAAACCAGCCTTAGAAAACAGTTTGTGGGTTTGAGCACTTTCCCATTGATGTACTTGTTTATGATCATCTCAAAATTACCAGCCTCATCAGTGTCGTCACTTCCATAGTATACAACTCTACTCCTATCATCCATGCACGTTATGGATACCTTGCAGCCTGCATGATGAAACAAACCACAACATTATATAAAACTGTTCATTTAGGTCCACAATGTAAATCTATTTTGATAGAGAGAGAAACCTTTGATGGGCTTGGCACCGTGGACCCACTCATTCCAGCCCAGGGTGCAGTCCTGGCACAGCACTTTGCCACCCACATGTATGACTCCAGCTCCAGCTGCTTCCTCCTTCCAAGCTTCAATGACATTGATAGAACCTATCAAAAATGAAACTGCAACCATCAACATCAACCCCACGGCTCCCATCTCTCTCTCTCTCTCTCTCTCTCCCCAAAAAGCACAGGGGGAGTAATGTATTCTCATACAAATACATCATACATATATATTTATGTAGTACACAGCTCATGGTTTGGGATTTGATGTGTGGAAGGGCACTACTTGGCGACGTGCAAAGCATTTAGGCCGCTTCTTATGGACTGTCACCGCATTGAATATAGTCTTGGACTACAAAAAAGAATTGGTTACAATTGTCAGATTATTACATTTTAAGGTTCTAGGTTACAACTCAGTGAGTACTAGGCTATCTATCAATAAAATATTGTGATTGGTCACGAGAATTACAGATTTTAAAAGTCAAGTTACGTTTTCTCAAACTTGAAGTCAAAACTTATTGAAGTTATTCATGATCGATCATAAAATTATAGTTGTAACTTGATTTTTTAATGCTGGTATTTTTTTGGTACCATAATCTTTTCTTTTGATATTTAACTAAAGCATGCAACAATTATGGGTTTGAAGGACTTCTTGTCCTTGTTGTGTCATGTTTAGATTGTATTTTATTCTAATTGTATCATTTTTAAATTCATATCATGTCCATATTCATGTAAACCGTGAAATAAAAATCACAAGAATAATACCAATTTTTCTCTTAATCAAGTCCATCTACACATGAATCTTCCATATATTAAAAATCTATCAAAATCAAATTAAACATCACACATGATACTAAAAGACATGAATGAAAAAATGAGACACATTTTCATAAACACGTTAGTTATTGACTCGATTCTATTAAATACCCGTGTCACTTTTAAATTGTGTTGTGTCTTATCGACGTTATCCGAGTAAAATTGACACATAGATCAAGCGAGGCGGCAGCCTAGGAGAATAACATGTGCCTTTACTTTAGATTTTATTAAATTTCAATGATTATTTGTATATGTTTATAGTTGCCACCAAATGCTAACTACATGCAGCTCCCCACCAAAAGACTTAAAAGAAGCTTTTTCCATATCCCCAGTCGAACTGTTAAAAGTGGTGTGTTATGATTATTATGATGATGGAATATAGTATTGGACTACAAAAAAGAAAAGTGTTCATTTTGATACCAACAAATGAATGTTAAGTCTAGGCTACTTTGTAAAAGAAGCATGTTTGTATTATTAAATTATATATAGAATTTACAGATATTTTGGTAATGCCATACGGTCTGCGATTCAGACTTTGAAAGCAGAAAATGAAAGGGTTGATGGGTGGAAGGAAGGCCAAACCATGGTTGGAGTCTTCCTATTCAGATGATAACTACGTTAGTCAACGGATTAAATTCTGATTGGATTTGAGTCCATTCGAATTTGAATTCGATCCATTTATCCGATGGATAGAAAAATATTAGTTCATATCTGAATTCGCTTAACAATAACCCAATTCGATCCATACTGGTATATATAAATTTATATAAAATATATATATATATATGTGTGTGTTTGATGGGTTAAGCCCAAATAGTCCAATTTATGTGTTAAAGTCCAACCCCAGTTGAGGAGCCCAACCTAATTTTGATTCCACCAAACCCAAGACAGTCCAAGACCGGTTAGACTTTTTGCTTAGCACGTCACCAAGAGGAGAGCATGGAAGCTTATCTGCACCACCGAAGGAAACGGTCCAATCTTTGACCACGTTTCATGAAGAGCTCCCCAACCTCCTCCTTCCGTTGAGGATAAGTCGTGATCTCCACCAGAATAATCTCTTAACTGAGATAAAGAAGCCTTGAGGATAAGTCATGATCTCCACAAGAATGATCTCTTAGCTGCTATAAAGTAGCTCCAATCTGGTAGAAGAGAAAGATGAAGGTCACGCCCCACCAACACTTACGGAGGATAGATCGACGACCGGAGACCACTTTCTTTGATTCTCCATTCTCTCAAAGCTTGTATCTCTATTCTCCATACCTCTGAATTAATAAAATACCCGGCAACTGAAGTCATTGAAGAGTGGATGTAGGTCGAATTGACCGAACCACTATAAATTGTGTCTTCTTTAATTCTTTCATCAATTTCACTGCATTTATTATCTACACTTGACAGGTGGTGTGCAAAACCATTTTTGTGCATCATCAGTTTGGCGCTGTCTGTGGGAATCGACAAAATTCTCACTCCTGAACATTACATCCATTAATTAATGGCGATCACTACTCGATCCATGAACCAACACGAAGACAATCCTCCACGAGAGGAGGAGGTTGCTCCCCCGCCTATCAACCCTGTTCCGGATACTCTAGCCCCGAATCCCCAACAAATATTGGAGACCATGCAGCAACTGGTTGCTCAAAACCAACAGTTACTGCAACTCATACTTGCTGGACAAGGAGGAGCACCACACGGAGGTGCACAGCATGGAGGACACCAAGGTGGAGCACCACACGGAGGTGCACAACGTAGAGCACCACACGGAGGTGCACAACGTGGAGCACCACACGGAGATGCACAACATGGAGGGCCCCACGGAGGTGCACAACATAGAGCACCCCAGGGAGCTCCACGTCCTGGACATCAAGGAGCACCACGCCCTGTTGCTCCACGCCCGGGCGCCCCATTGGGCACCCCACTTCGGGAAGCCCAACATGAGGGAGCTCCACCTCCCCCTCCCCTTGCTTCCCAGGGAGAGGACCCTTATCTCCAGGAGGATGAGGGTGAAAACCAAAGCATGGAGCATGGAAGCCACTTCCATGATCATTCCAGAGGAGCCCCCAATCATTGGGACGAAAAGATAAAGGAGGTACAGAATCAACTCGGTGATGTCTTCAACGCCATGAAGGCACAGGGACCCGAGACTGTTGACCACCTGGTAAGGCGTACTGATACGCCTTTTCAAAATGCCATCTGTGGAGACCTTTGATGGAACAAAGGATCCACTGGACCACCTCGACACTTACAAGACCTTGATGCAATTGCACAACGTACCAGACGAAATCATGTGCAGGGCATTCCCAACCACGTTAAAGGGGTCTGCCCGACAGTGGTTTGCTAAGCTCTCCCCCGCCTCTATTTCCTTTTTCGCCGAGCTTAGCAGATCATTCGTCTCACACTTCATTGGAGGGCGTCGCCACCAGAAGCCAGTTACGCACCTGCTTAGTATAAAGCAGGACCGCGAGGAGAGCCTGAGGAGTTACCTCACTCGTTTTAACGAGGAGGTACTCCAAGTTGATGAACCCGACGACAAGGTGACGATGACCGCCTTCTTGGGTGGCCTCCGTTCATCAAGCTTCCTTTTCTCAGTTCTGAAGCGCCCACCGAAGAGCATGCCAGAGCTGCTAGCCAAGGCCCAAAAGTACATAAACGCAGAAGACATCACAAGGGCCAGGCGGGGTGAGTCTTCCAGAGCAGGGGATAAAAGGAAGGAAAAGGAGAGGGACGATAAGAAGGGGACCAGCAACAAACATGGCAGGACAGAGAAAGTCCCTGTCAAGGACCGGCTAGGTCCTGCTCCTCAGAGGAACCGTCAACCCTTCACTCCCCTCAATGCTTCCGTGGAACACATCCTATTCCAGATCCAGGATGACCCGTGATAAAGTGGCCTGGAAAAATGAAGTCTCCTCCAAATCGCAGAAATCCTAACAAGTATTGCCGCTTCCATCGTGACCACGGGCATGACACCGACGATTGCTACGACCTCAAGAGGCAAATTGAGGGGCTCATCCAGCGTGGTCACTTACGCCAGTACGTTGCTGGAAGGGAACGAGCACCACAACCTCACAACCAGGAAGATCAGCAGCCAGTGGGGGAAATACACACCATCTCAGGGGGACTAGCAGGTGGGGGAGAATCACTTTCCGCGATGAAGGCCCATGCCAGGAAGGCAAGACATGTCTACGAGATGCGCCCATCTAAGGTGCCGAAGCAGGAAGGCGACGTGGTCATATCTTTTTCAGACAAGGACCTGGAGGAAATCCAACACCCCCATGACGACCCCTTGGTGCTCACCATGACGGTGGCCAATTTTCATGTGCACAGGATCCTGGTGGATAGTGGCAGCTCTGCGGATATCCTGTTTGCAGAGGCCTATGACAAGCTCAACCTGGGCAGGGAGAGGCTACAGCCAATCAGGTCACCCCTCATTGGATTCTCAGGGGAAAAAGTGTATCCCCTTGGATCCATCACACTTCCCGTCACCGCCGGAGTAACACCCCGAAGCTCCACAGTCATGGTCAACTTCCTGGTAATAGAGTGCCCGTCAGCCTACAACATCATATTAGGGCGGCCAGCTCTTAACACATTGAGAGTTGTGCCCTCTACCTACCATCTCGTTCTCCGCTTTCCAACCTTAAATGGTGTCGGAGAGGTCAAAGGGGACCAAATAACAGCCAGAGAGTGCTATGTATCCTCTATGAAGGCTAGGAAGCCCCAAGAAGCATTACAGGTTGAGGTCCTTGACCCAAGGGATGACTCAACAACAGAAAGAGGAGAACCAGTCGAGGAACTCATCCCTGTGGTTTTAGAAAAGGAGCACCCAGACAGAAGAATTTACATTGGCTCTTCCCTTTCTGAAGAGCTGGCTCCCCTGTTGATTGATTTTTTGAAGCGTAATATGGACATCTTTGCTTGGTCGCATGAGGACCTTGAGGGCATCGACCCGGAAGTAGCTACCCACCACCTCAATGTCGATCCACTGTACAAGCCTGTTCGCCAAAAGTTAAGGGGAACCTCCACTGAAAGGGCCCAAGCCATGGACAAGGAGGTTAGAAAGCTGATTGATAACGGGGCAGTCAGGGAAGTGGCGTATCCGGAGTGGCTCTCCAACGTAGTAATGGTTACTAAGGCTAATGGGAAGTGGCGCCTCTGTGTCGACTTCACAGAACTAAACAAGGCATGCCCAAAAGATAGTTATCCGCTGCCGCGGATTGACCTCCTCATCGACGCCACCGCTGGACATGAGTTGCTCACTTTCCTGGATGCATACTCGGGGTACAACCAGATTAGCATGCATCCCCCAGACCAAGAGAAGACATCATTCATCACGCCAAAGGGGAC